TGTAGCATGAAAGTGGTAAGGCAGTTTTTTTGCGGGGCGGTGGTCGTTTTTTTTTGTTTGTGTCCTTTCCCGTGCTCTACTTGCTTATTCCCATGAACACTGGTGGCATCTCTTCTGGTGCTGCAAGTAGTTCCTCAACTGTATTGGCGAAGAACTTTGGGCTGAGGGGATGTAAATGGAGCATATGGACATTGACTTAGCTGAGTAACGCTTTTAAATGTTGAGCTCAAGTTATTCTCAACACCATTACTATATTACTCTTAGATTTCAAAGGTTTACAGTTAAGTGTATCAGCCATTTGCACGATCACTGTCTATCACCAGAATGAATTGATTGAACTCCATTTCAAGTACCTTAAAAATGCGTTGCTAGCAAGTTGTATCTCTTGGAGGAGGTTATTCGGTAATGCACTTCGGCAGCGTGCCCCTCTGAAGTCTGTCGTGTGTGTGACTGCATAGGGTTAGGTGAGATGCTTGGTGAGAAGAGCTTGTGCAGATGACAGCGAAAGCTTCCTTTAGATTTAATATTCTGTGCGTCGTATTTGTGGCAGTCCACTAGACGGTAACTAACACGTGCTGCTCTAGGGCGACAACTTCATTCTTGCAAACTTGAGTGCTTTCCTTAATGATTCATGTGATTTAAGATTGACTTTTTTAAACGCGACTTTCAAAAAACACGTAGCGCTAATATTTTAGGTATGAAGACTGCGCCGTACTAAATGAAGACAAATGTTTGAGAAGGTAAATAAGTAAAGCGTAAACAAGTTCTGGATACTTGTTTGTCTGCAATGAAAGGGGAATTACTCTTTTCTCCTGGACTGAGAAGAGACATTTGAAAATCAGATGTGACAAGAGAAATCCTTCTGGGATTCTGCTAGAGCAAAGAGTATTTGAAAGTCTTGTCTGGTCTGCAGCAGTTGAAAGGAGGTTTCATTTTCATGGTGGGGAGAGTTGGAAGGCTGAGAAGACATGTTGTCCTGTATGTAGGTACCTCTGGCTTAATATGAAGACTTTACTGGAAGGTTGTTTCTACAGTACAGTTGTGAGTATCCACAAAGTAGGTCTTGGGAAAAAGTGTACTTAGTGGATTTTAATGCAGTGTGCTAGGATATATTGGGTTTTTTTTCCCCCTTCCTTGAAGCACTTTGGATTTCTTCTGTTTTTATAAATGACCCATCTTGTGAAAAAGCCAACCAAAGGTGACAGCTTAATCTCTCCCTGGGGCACCTTGGTTGCTGCTTGTGGTTTTTTTAATACCGTTCTCAATTGTTCTGTCTCTTGACTGGAAAGAGAAGGTACATATGTTCCAAGTGAGGCTTAAATTTTACTTTGGCTCGTCTTCATCAGCTGTTTTTGGGCATCTGTGGGATTATTGTATGTAAAGTTTCACATGAAATGGATGGTAAACTGAGAGGGATGCTTACTCTAATGTGAAGTCGTCATCTGTGCCTAAAAAAGGGAAGTTGACGAGTTTTAGATCATCCTGCCTCTCTTTGTTTATGAATGTAAGAAGTTCAGAAAGTAGAAGAGAGAACTAGAATGGGAACGTATTTTGATTCAACAACTGTAACAGTTTTCTCTCACCTTTGTGCCTTAAAATTACATGGTCAGTCTTCTATAATTACTGGAAACCTATGCCTGACAGGCTTTATTTTTAGCAAGGAAGAGGTTGTAGCTTGGAAATAGTTTTCTTGTGTATTTGAATATTTTGTTTTTTTTTTTTACCTGACCTAAGGCAAAAATATCTTATGGTGGGATTTATTATTGGCATCGCAAATGGTAATGTTAAAATGATGCTTTGTGTTTTTCTAAACAAAGGCTGTAAATGATACGCTTTCTTCATGTATGATATTTGTGGTTGCTAATGGTTTATTCTTGGAAGAGTCTTTGCATATGTTGAGTACTTTGAGATAGCGATGGAACGGTTTGCAAGGGCATGCATGCCTTTCTGTAATCTAATCTCAAAAGACATGTTACTTTCACGTGATGTGGTTTTGAAGGCTGCTTCTATGTGTGTAAGGTTGGCAAAGCACCTCTGTTACTAAAGCAAAGGGTGATAAATATTAATAACATGGTATAAGGCATACAGCAAGTACAGTTTCAAAATGTTATCGGGAGATAAAAATCTTTTCTTGTATCTTACGTATTTTCTGCAATGCATGTGTGATTTTTCTACCAGCATGCAGTAGTTTGTAGAATCTGGAGGAAAAACTTTGTCTCTTTATTGCTCAAAAGCTGTGTTTGGCAAGCTTCCAAGTGTCCTAAAAGGGCTGTTGGAGGGGGGTTTAGGTACAGGATATTTCTGCAGTCTGTGGCTGTAACCACAAAGCTAGTTGTGGAAGAGGTTTTGATGGCAGTTTTCCTAATATTAGGGTGTTTTCTCTCTCATATTATAAGACACTTAAGCTAATTTGTAATACTTCATCTATTTCCATCTCTATTTTGAGTTTTCTGGTAGCGTGCAGGATTTGCGTGTCTATCTGTTTCTGCGAACTGAGTGTACTACAGTCCAATAATTTTCTATTTCTGTGTCGCTGAGACAGATGGGAAAGCCAGGTGTGCTTGACTCCTCCTTGGTAGCGTTACGGCCTTACCAATGAAGTTAAATGCTGTGCTGTACTTCTTTGGTGCCTCAAAAGATGGTTAACTTAAGCTTTTTAATGCTGCTGCTGCTTAGGGACCTCTTTTTGCTATTGGGTTTATGCATATGAAATTTTTTTTCCCCAAGCTGTGTTGGAAGAAGCCATCTTCAGTAAAGACAAGAGCCAAGACTCGACTTTGCAACTGTGTGGTGTGTGTGGTTTTTTTTTTTTCCCTACCTCCGGAGTGGTTATCCTACTCTTCCCCCCCACCCCCTCATCTTATTACCATGACACTTTTTAAATTTCAGCCACTACTTTATCAACAGGTCCTTGTAACATTTGCACGGATTTGCCCATCAGACACGACTTTGGTTTAATCGCCTGAATTTTTTAAGTTGTAGCTGTCTGGGGTGTGCAAAAGTGTTGATTTTTCTAACATGAATGCAAAACTCTACTTTTGTAATGCAGCAGTAGTGACCAAGTTACCTTACGGTGTAATGCCTTTCTTGAAAACCCCGTTCTTTGGGGACACAGCTCGGGGTTGACCTTTATTTAGTTTTCAGAGGTTTGTTCTGCCATGTGCCACTCTTCTTTTTTAACTTGCTCATTTTAAATAGTGCCAGCTGCTTCTATTTTTTTATGTGGTCTAACTGATTCTAACTTTTTTTTTAAATCTCATCTGAAAATTTTTTTTTTCCTATGCATCCCATCTGTCATCTTCATATTCTTTAATCTGCTCTCCTCCATAGTCAAAGAAAGATTTGGATTTTTTGGTGTGTATATATGCACAATAGACTTTATTAAGACTAAGGAGTTAGGTGTTCAATTTTTTTTTTTTCTTTTGATGGGGGTTGCTGCAGTATGTTTTAGCTTGTAGCTGTTACACAGGTACGTTGTTTTTCCATCCTTGTGACTTCCCCATGAGATAACAAAACCTGTTCTATATATAAAGCATTGCATTATCGAGTAATTCTAAGATCAAAGTTTAGGTGAATGTCAACACTGTTAGGGTTCCTCGTCCCTATAAGGCTCCTGATTCAGGGTTCCCTTTTATCCCCATGAAACTGTTATCGCAGATCCCACGTTGATCAATGTAAATGCACCAGTGGACTGCTGCCAGAAGCAATGATCAGACAGATTTATTTGTGATGGATTTAGCTGTCGTATGGCCACAAGAAAAGTGACTTCGGTGAACGGGTCCAACAGAAAACTAATTAAGTTGTTTTTGAACAAAAAAAAAAATCCTTTGCTTCAGCTCTTTGTATCTGACTTCATGATGGATAGATCTGACTTAAGGAAAAAAGTGTGTGCCCAAGGGAGCAGAAAGAGCAGGGACAGTATTCTTTAGCAGGTGTCCTGCCGTTACACGTAGTTAGATGTAAAGTAAAGCGTTACTCTTAGGGTAGGCAGCAGTTCTTTGGGAGATCACCTCTGCCAGGAGGCTGTCACTTGTGCGCTGGTAAAAGCGGGCTGTATTCTAAGGAATGCAAACGTTTGGAGAAAGGCAACTTTAATGTTGTTTTGATGTCAAGTCTGAGATGAGATGATGAGATTTCTACTGCTCAGTTATTTTAAAGCTTGTTTTTGTCAAGACTGTGCGAAAGGCAGCGTTTAAAGGTCTGCTTTAGTGATGTACTAAATGTGATTAGAGGCCACGTTCAGAGAGAAGCCTTGTTCTTGAGCCTATATCTATTTCTAATACTGTGCTTTTGCGTTACGGGTGGTATGGTTTCAGTAACGATGGAATCTGAACAGATCGTCTTGCAACTGCTGTTTTTGAACTTTGTGCATAAAACCTGGTGAATTAGACAGGGGTGTGGTTAACGAGCCATCTGTTGAAACCTGAGTGAAACAGTTATTTTTGATCTTTCCAAAACTGTTGGTCTAGGAGAGACCTGCCAGTTGGGTAACTTAACTCTTTTGCCACCCCTTTGTATAACCTTTGGTTCACAAAAGCTGCTTGTTTGTGCTGGAAAATCACACACAGGAGTTGTCCCCTAAGCAAATGGGTTCAAGATCTCTGAATGTTAACTTATGTAACTCTTTATAAATTTACCAGTTACTTTATTGAAGTACATTCATTGCCATTGAATGTAAAACTGAAAGAATATTGCACTCCTGAAATGTATGTCCTGATCTTTGATACGATGAAATCAAGGACATTACAAAAGGAAATGGCATGGTATTTAGTGCATATGTTGATTTACTCTGTTTTTCCTTCAATATAGGCTAATGTTTTCTTGAAGAATTGGATGGGCAGATTTTTCAATGACATTTTCTTTCGCAGTTTCTAAGAGGTGAAAATGCATTGCTTTAGAAAACTTTGACAAACAGCTTCAGAGCTGCAGAATATATTTAGGAATTTAGGAAAAATTAGTTCTGTTTAGTTTAAGTTAAAACTTGTGTCTTGTTTCTTCAGGGTCATGATGAAGAAGCTGTTGTGGATATGGGCAAAATCAGCTCTACTATCAATACAAACTTCGAGAAAGAAGAACTAGAGAGTAAGTTTGTGGTGGTTTTCTGTTTGCTTAATGTGCATTTTTTGCCTCGGGATAAAAGATCTATTTTCCTTCAAGTGCAACCAGTATTGCTAAAAGGAATCAGAATTTTATGGCCATCTTGAAATTCTAGGACTAAATCCAGGGAATGGCAGGTGACGTGCCCTGCTTTTTGTCTCTGTGCATGCTAATAAATACTTGCTGTTATTCCAGTCTGTCACACAAAAAAATATTTAAAAAATGTATTATGAAGCTTTCCAAGGAGAGCTTGCTTCTGAGCCTGTAGATTTGAAAAACTGATTGCTGTTGGTAAGTAATTTCCCAGCATGAATGATGTCAAGTTCTGCAGAATCAAAAGGCAGGAAACGGGGGCCATGAGGGAGATGTTTGTGTTGTTTTCTGAAAGTGAAGTATCTTTGTGAGCGTGGTCATGCGCTTTAAATACTCAGGGCCTGAACAGATAACAGTGCTTCTAGTTCCGTGGTAAGCTGTACTTTCTGCAGTCTGCAGTCAGGTCAAGCATTATGGAGTCCTGTTAGTCTTCGTTATTGGACTCAGGATCCTGCATTTAGCAACAAAAATGGCATTGAGTTAGTTTCGTGTACCAAAATGCAAAATCAGATACTTCGTCGAAGACTTGAAAAGGAATTATATTGGGATGAAGATTCATGGATGCTATTTAGTGAAGCCAGAGGAAAAAGCTAGGGAGATCCAGTGTTAAAATCTTATTTATCCACCTTTCACATAGAATGCTCTGAAGCTTAAATAACAGTTGCAAAATGCTAGAAGACTATCAGTACATTGACTAAGTAGTATTCCCTCGCAGTACTGACTTTTACTGCTTTAGAACACCGGAGAGCCATTATAGCAGCAGTTTCTAGCTGGGAAAAGTTGATTTAGGTTGCTGTCATGTTTTCTTATCCTGTGGTCTAACGAGACAGTTTAAAGTGATTAAAGTTGTTTGTTGTTCTTGCTCTGTTCCCTTCAGTCTGTGACTGCTTTCCATCTTGTGCTGCTGCTGTTTGTCTGACCGTACCATAAGCCAGCAGAAAATGTAACAGTCCTGACAAAGGAAAATAATAAGAAAGATTTCAACAGCTGAGCACCCGAGACCAATTTGCCACGCAGATGGATGCGTGGCATCGCTGAGCGGAGGACGGAAGGGTGACTATGAGGCTGAGAGGTGCAGCGGTAGAGGCTGCAACAGTGCCAACGTAGATAGGGTTGGGCTGCGGTGAAACCAGTGCCGCGTCTGTTTCTGCAGTTAAATCTTCAGTGCAGATTTAAGCTGTTGCCTCCTTCGCTTCCTTCTCTTGCTTTTCTGTGGGAGATGACCCAGAAAAAGCATGCGTGTGTGTTGCAGGGAGGCAGGGGTTGAGGGGAAGCGGGCGTTCAGCGAGAGTAGCGTGCCGTGCAGCAGCATGGCCAGCTGTAATGCCTCAACCATGAGGAATGACACGGGAAGGGCCATGGGAACGTGCAGCCGCATCGCTTCCCCGATCTCCTTCTTGGCACATTGCAGGAGTGCTTCAGCTAGCACAGCGCTGTAGTTACACAGGGTACCGGGTGGGAGGGCAGGGGGGGTTCAGGCTGCTCCAGGCATTTTAAGCGCTTGTGTTGCTGACTATGGAAAATACCCCTGTCTTACCCATGGCCAAAGAATAAATGAAGGTGAAACCAAGACTTCTGTTTCATGAGCAACTGAGTCAACATAACAGCTATTGAAGGGAGAAGACGAGGAGATCTCGCTGTCCTCATCTTGCTCTTAGCCGCGCAGCCTTACCTTTCCTTTGGGTACCTCTTGCTCCCTTTGGAGTGACCCAGTGTGTGTGTCTCAACGCGAGAGAGGGCTGGCTCTACAGGGGTTAAACAAATAACTAATAAGAAGTATCTTGACAAGAAGAATGTGTTCCAGTAGGACCATCATATATCTGAAGCTTCATATATACATGCATTTTCACACTTAAGTAGGAATTATTTTTGGCAATTACATATATATTTTTTTTGTTGTAGTATCTTGCATATTTGTAGGAAAACGTGTCTTTTTTTTTTTTTAATGGTAGGACGGGGAAAGGGAGGGACGGCATGTATTTTGACTTTTATCAGTGGAAATGTTCCACAGTAAGAGCAAGAAGTTTTTCCTTTCCTGTACGAAAGAGAGAGGTATGTCAGTACAGTTGTCTGTGAGTCATATAGCTCACTTCTCTGAGATTCACCAAAAGAGATTCTTCAGATTCAGGGTGTTTTAGAGGATAAATAAACTCAAGTGAAGTTACAGTTCTGTTTGAGATCATTATTTATAAGCTGTTACGATTAGATACGTGGGATTTTGGGGTTTTGTTTTTTATTCTGGTATTAAAATCTTACAAGGGGAGAGAGGGAATTGTTGGCTGTAAGCAGTAAAAACCACCTTTGGATAGTGTTGTTTTTCACTACTAACTTTTGAACATTTTCTTGCAGGCCTAGGAACACCCTATAGTCAAGCATTGAGTATTATAAGTGGTTTAAGACTTGAAACTGTTTCAGTCTAGTCTTCCATCTCGTTTTTCTGGTGACTTGGAAAGGAGTTCTAGGAATTTGGACCCTTTCCAGAAATGTGTGTCGATTCATTTTCAAGGAGAGGCAGCAAGCGGTTGATTCAGTTCAGCTATGATGTGAAGCACCAAACCTTTAAGAACCAGCGTGGACAGGTGGTATTTAACTGCTTTAAAGCCTGTACAAACTTACGTTGATTGGTTTGATGCTCTAGAAGGCATAATTTTGCTGCTGCTACTACTAAAGCAAAGGTTTCTTGGAGTTGTAAGTATTAGATCTTTCTGGAAATTTTGTGATTGAAATACTAATGGAAAGCAGGCTAGATGCTGAAGGGGAAAGTAGATCTTGGAGTTAGGGCTTCCCAAGCTCTGCATTCTGTTTATGGTGGCTGGGAAAGTGTGGTGCGTATCTGGAGTGACGGAGTTTAGGTTAGAAAGGTTAGGCACAGACCGAGAGGGTTTTGTAACTCTCTTCCTGTAAAAGGGAAATGGGTTGAGATGGTAAACTGCAATTGTGGGCAGACTGTGGATCTGCTAAATAAAGGTACTGCTCTTTACTGAAGCCCTTACTTTTGAAATAACAAATGCCAGTTTACGGAAGAGCTGGAAGTGGGAATAACATCTTAAAATAACATTTTTAAGAGCACCTAATGTTCTTAACTTGATGCCAGACTCTTCAAACTGCAATGAGTGAGAGTAATAACAAAGTAAGGCAGGAGTTGGAAGTAAGGCAAGAATAGTAATGGCAGAGATATTTCATGCCATCTTGTAAAAGGCATCTTCTGTTAAGAGCCATGTTTAAGGAGAGCTTTCTTAAGCCTGAGTTAATATGTTTGGCTTGATATTAGCAGGACCTATCTTTTTCAATGTGTAGTTAATTTTCCACCTCGATTTGAGGATACGTTTACTAGATACAGTTTAAGGGAAAAGAGGTATATTCTGTTACTCCTAGCAGACTGCTTACAGGCGTAGCAAAGACAAGGAGTTTACACATAACAGGAGTCTTGCTCCAGGAACAATCTGAGGTCAAGAGTGTGTGTCTCCGTGCTAGTTTTCTAGTTTTAAAGTAAAAGATCTTTATATAAATACTGAACTTTGACTGAAAATAATCTTTGAAGGAGGTGATGAAGCAAGGTATAAGTTTTTCAATATGCAGCTACTTTTTCTGTAGAGGTAGAAGGCCGTACTGAATATGCACACCCTTGAATTGTTACAACTTCTAACAGGTAAGGCTAGATTATCTAATACACCCTCCAAAACAGAGAAAAGTCTCCAGTCACATTGTCTGTCTTCTAGTAATGGTTTTTCAAAGTGAGTCAGTGTTTAAACTTGAAGGAGTTCATGAGAACATCTGCAGCAGACAATAACTTTGCTTATACTTAAATCTTTAAAATCCGTTTTTGGGAAATGTCCATGCTAATTTTAGCATTTCTTCTTAAAACAGAGTTGTTTTTAAAATGGATGCCATTCAAAACAAATGCCTTTTACATAAAGCTGTAAAATAAATATTTAATGTAAAATAGACTAAGATGGAAGCAGTGCTTTTTAAAAGTTGATGACATAAACTATCCTCTACTATTTTTTGATTTTAAACTTATTTTAGGTGTGAGAACATTATGTAATGTTTCTGCTCTGACTGCGTCAGAAATTTTATAAAAAGGTAACTAGCTGTGGTTTTATAATCTGAAAGAGACGTAAAATTGTTGTTAAAGTAGTACGGCCATAGAATTGAAGTCTGACCAAACAACACCAATTGAAACTTAAAACTTTCGGTGAACTTGATGGCCCCAGATTGCTCAAATATAAAATTTTTGAGATGAGATGGAAGAAACCGGAGACTATACTTGATTCTGCAGCCTGTTGTTTCTTGATAGCTTTTCGTAACATTTATCATACTGTTTTTAGTCCCTTTTAAAATCAGTTGTTCCAAAATTGGCTAAACCAGTAACTTGTTGTCAGAAGTCTTTCGTAATGGCTAACTTCTCTGTTTGCAAATCACTGAAAGCTAACGTTTCACAGCAGTTAAAGCTTTTAAAGTGTGAGGTGGTTTTTCTGTTTGTGGGTTTTTTTTAATTTCTGAACATTTCTTATTTTATAAAGAAAGTGTGATAGTTTGAGCTTTTCTCAAAAGGTCACCCTTACATGAGGCAGGATTCTCTCTGTAATATTTTTCAAGGCTTAAAATATCAGGAAATAGATGCCTTTGGGGGCAAGCTGGTCCCTTTAAAGATGTGTGCAGCGGTTGTACAAGAGAGTTGTGATCAAATTTGCAAAATGAGAATGTATTTGTGAGCCATTGCTGAAGGGGGAAAATCTCCTCTTGCAAATATTTCTTCTGAAATGCTTTACAAGCACAGTGTTAGGAATGTGGAAGCCTCGTGTCCTTACAGGGTGTGTCATCTGTGAAGGGCTGAGAACGTTGGTTTCTTTATTAGCGGATGAAGGATCTTAATGGGACTTTTGCTCCAA